TCAAAATCAGGGACACTCCTCAACTCAGCACAGCTTCCCTCAAATGCCATGCATTCCATGGCTTTGCTCTGCTACTCTGGTCATCAGGATGATCACAACAAGGGGAAACTCCCTGTGGACCTAACCCGGACTGTGTCATTGTGCCGTGCACATGGGAGATGTGGCCTGGGCTCAGGGTCTACACTGATTCTGGGAAATAGCTAAGCTGAGCTATGTAGGAGGAGAGACAAAGCTGGATGGTTAGTAGATTCGGAAAACAGCAATGTGAATGGGCCCAAAGGGACCCAGTCCTGTTCTGCATGAATGCCGGGTAGAAACTGCTATCCTTCACTGCAGAAGAATCTTTTAAACCAGACACTCAAGGCAGGCAGCCTGCAGCTTGCTCACGTGGGCCAAGGCACCATACTGCCTTAGAAACACTCCTGCTCTCCGAGCCGCTGTGTCCAGCTGCTACCACAGCAGACCTCCTCCAGGCATCTTCGCGCTTAGTGACAGCTGACCACACTGGTCCCTGCTTCCAGAAGCAGCGCTGACTCATCCTCTTCCTACAACCAGCCTGGCTGTGCCAGTGGCCCCCACCTATGTGTTTCCTACACCATATGAGGCTGCTGCACACCGGAGTTTCCAGAGAACTCATCTCTCTACAGACGCAGTGAAGCAAGAGCTCAGCTGCCAGAGAATTCTCAGGTCCTCAAAGTCCCTTATCAGCCAGCAGCAGCGAGCCTTGCAGAGAGCTCTGCTGAACTGCTGAGTAGCACGCTTGCCAGGGCCATGGTACCCAGAGCCGGGTAGAGAGGATATCTACCATCGTTACATCTGTCTCAGCCACTTTTTTCATTGCTGGGACAAAACACCCAATACAACTTAAAGGAAAAGAAATTTATTTTATCCCACATTTCAGTATGCAGTGGGCTGGCTCCAAGGAAAGATGGCAAGGCAGAGGGACACCATGGAGGAAAAGGTGCTTACCTCATCGCTTCCATGAAGCAGAAAGAATCAAGGGAGGAGCCAGGAAGGGAGCTACATCTCTCCAGGTCCTGCCCACAGTGACCCATCTCTTCCAACCAGAACAGCAAGTCAGTAATAGCATCCCATAATACAATCACCTTCCAAACAATGCAATTTCAAGGATCATATTTATTTATTTATTTATTTATTTATTTATTTATTTATTTATGTGTGTGTGTGTGTGTGTGTGTGTGTGTGTGTGTGGCCAGCTCAGCCCATCAGGGGGCGGGGCTGGCTGGCATGTGGTGCTGGGGGATTGAACCGCGGTCCCTGTGCTTTGCCAAGCTTGTTCTAAGTAGGTGCTTTAGACCACTGAGCCATTTTACCAGCCCCTCAAGGATCATTTTAGATCTAACCCAGAATATTCTGCTTCTGGCCCCTAAAAAACTCATGTATGTTTCTATATGAAATGCATTTAGCCCATCTTTTAAAAAAATATTTTATTTATTTATTTTATTTATTTGGTACAGGGTCTTGCTAAGCAGCTCCAACTTCTAGTGATCCTCTTGTGTCAGCCTCCTCCACCCTGGGATTATAAACATGCACCACCATGCCCAGTTTTAGTGCCCAGCTTGGTGCAGGGGCCAGCACAGCATGTGGTACTGGGGATTAAACCCGTGTCCCTGCATGTCCCAGGCAGGTGCCCAGACTGCCAAGCTATCTCCCCAGCCCCAGTCCATCTTTAATAGCTGCCAAAGTTCTAACAGGTCCAACTGCTGGAAAGCTCAAGTCCAAAGTCTACTCTGGAGACTCAGAGCAAACTTCTAGCTGTGAGCTCCTACAAAAATAAAAAAGAAAGTAAACATTTCCCACGTACAATGGCCCAAGGCAACATATCTCATTCTGAAAGGAACAAAGAGATAAAAATTGGACTAGACCAAGATGGAAACTAAGTAGAGCAAGCATAAATTCTGTAGTTCCACATCCAGTACCAGGGCAAGTTGTGGTGATGAGACACACTCTGAAGGGCTTGGGTGGCCCTGTCCCTGTAGCACTCTTAGTGCTGCAGCTCTTAAGGCTTCTCTTGGGCTGGCTTTGCTTACTCCTTGCAGCTATTCTACATCCTGGATTCCCCAATTCTGTGGGGTCTCCACCACACTTCTGGCTTTACTCTGACAGCTTCACACACTGCCTTCTCAAGGGCCCACTGCCTGGCCTCAGAGACCTTCTTCTGAAACCTGGGTGCAAGTCTCCCTTGCTCCACACCTCTTGCATTCTGCATGCCTGTAAAGCTAGTACCTCATGGATGATGCCAAGGTCTGCCACCAGCTCATGCAGTAGTTGGGCACCTTTGGATCACAGCTGCAGTGGCCTTTGAATGCTTGGATAGCTAGCACCGTACAAATCCTGCAGACCAGTTCCTTAGGTGGCCCTTATTGAGCATGATACCCTTAAGTTCTCTCCTCAAATGAAAGCTTTACAGACATGCGCCCTTGAAAGCACCCAGGGGGTGGAGTCTTGCTGATTCTTGGGATGCCCTAAAGGTAACATTTCCATCGGACGCCTCTATTGTCCCAGCTTGGGTTTCTTTTTAATGCTCATCTTTTCAGCAATCAAGATCTTGGCTGAAATTTTGCAGGCCCTTCCTTCCCCAGGAGACTGAAAACTTTACAAACGGGGTTTATATTCCTGATGTTCAGTATAAACCTGGCTGGAAACAGCATGCAATATCCATACCACAGATTGAATATTGGGCTGCTTTAAGACTTCCTCTGCCAGAATAATCAATATGCTGTCATTAATCTCAGTCTCCTGCAAAATCTCAAAACACGGAGCAAAATGTAGACAATGTTCTGCCAGAGCGTAACACACGGAGTCTTAAGTCCCACTGCCAGTGGAATTCTTGTTCCCAAGTGAAATCTTCTGAGCCTGATCTTTACTGTCTTTCTTTTTAATCAGCATTCTGGTCTTCTGAGCTCTGACCAGAATTTCCCAGTAAGCCTAGCGTGCGGTGACCTAGCACTTCTCTAGGTGGCATCTCCAAACCTTTCCTAACTCTTCCCAGAAACCAGCCCCACAGGCTTATGAAGCACATGGTTAGGTAGTCACAGCAGCAGCAACCACACTTCTCTAGTACCAAAATGTCTTACTCACTTTCCTTGTCACTGAGACAAAATACCTCACATTTCAGTCTATTGTTGTCTGGCTCCAAAGGTAAGAAAGCATGGCAGAAGCACATGGTGGGAGGAAAAGCCACTCAATTCCTGGTGGCCAGGAAGCAGCGAGAGTCACGTTAGGAGGTGAGAAGGAGACAGACCCTGCCAGGTCATGCTTACAGGACCTACCTTGCCTACCACCAAGTCAGCTATAAAAGCCACATAGTCCAGGCCGGGGAGATGGCTCAGTGGAATAAGTGCTTCCCTAGCAAGGGCAAGGGTCTGAGTTCAATCCCTGGTTCCGAAAAAAAAAAAAAAAATCTCTAGAAAAGCCACATAGTCCAATAACCTTCTAAACATGTGATGCTCTGGAGGACACTTACTGTTTTCTTTCTTTTTTCTGTGGGCCATTTTAGAGCTAAACAATAACATCATTCAATGACCTACCCTCACACTTTTGCCTCCTGCCTGCATTCTGAGGCATCAGATCTGGGGATTTTAGGAGCCAGGACACGATGTTTCCATGTGGGCAGTGTGGCACTGGATGCTTAGAGTGCTGCCAGGCTAGTGTGGGCTTCCAGGCTTCCAAGGAAATAGTCCTTATGGAGTATCTGGGATGCAGTGGGGGAATGGGGGTCCCAATGCGGAACTCATCAGTGACTGGGTGTGGGGTGGCGTGTGTGTGTATGTGTGTGTGTGTGTGTGTGTGTGTGTGTGTGCATTCACTGGACAAGCGGAGGGCACAGATTAGCAGGGCCCTGTTGGTGGCTTCCTGACTTGCCCAAGTCCTCCATCTGTAAAAGCCGTCCTTCACATACACAGGGAACCAAGCAGGTAAGTCTGTGGCAAGGGACTCCATTAACACCTCAGAATCTGGGATCCCATAAAGGGCCTTAGGAACCAGTCCCCTGCAGGACCACAGTGCTGGCAGAACAGAAGGCAGTGTCCACTCACCCAGGAACCTAGGCAGCCCTTCAGACTTCTGAGCTTTCCCAAGGCCTGGACTTTCAGCCCGTCCTGGGGTTCTCTGAGACATGAGTATTTTCCCAACAAATCCGTCATATCAATTAGTATTACTATCACCCCAAATGTTCTTCCTACTTACCCAAAGCTCCTCTAGCAACCTAAAAGAAAACCTACTCTACACTAAAACAGGCTTCCAACTCCTTCTAACGGCTGCATGAGGCTGCTCAGAAGCAGCTTGTTCCCTCAGTTTCCCCAAGTCTGTGGTCAGCCACGTTCTGCCCTTCATGCCTTTCTAGCCACCTGCAGATGCCTGGATCATTGGACGAGCAAAGCAAAAGCGTGAGTCCTCTGCCTACAAACAAAACAGCACACACTGTACCTCCCAAGCTAACTGTACGGCCCTCGAAGGGATGTAGGGACTCCAGGTTAAGAACTCTTAGGATCACCTGACTCGGCCTCGCTGCATCGATGGCTGTCAGGAACAAAACGTGCCACCCTTAAAAAGACACGGCAGCTTACTTCATCAAGATGCGCTGCGGCTGGACCAGGAGCACTAAGGTAAACACTCCAGTTCTTTCCTCACAGGGGGCTGCTCAGCAGCACAGTGTGGGCAAACCAGTCAGGCCCTCCAAGTGCACTCTGAGCAGGGGCCCAGGGAGCAGGGGCTGATCCCTGATAAGGGGCACATGCTGCGGCCTCAGGTCCAAAGCAGCATCTGTTAGAGAACGATTTCCCTTCCCCAACCAGCTTCTCCAAGGAACCCGCTGTGGAAAGGCACCCGCTCTGGCAGCCCTGCCATGCCAGAGGGCAGAATGGAAGCGGAAAAGGAATCCTACTCACCGAAAGCACCACTCCATCCCTCTCAGGTAATTTCTGAACCAGAGCGGCATCTAATGTGGTGCCGACCACACCGTGGAGAGAGCGACGTACCTTTGTCAGCTGCTGCTCAGAGGAAAACCCCAGACCAAACACTGTGTTGGCTCTGCTGTCGGCCCACTGGCCAAACTTCTGCGATGTTTTGGTGAAGGTCATATTCGGTGTGATTGTGCTGTTTATGATCACCTGGAAGAAAACAGGTCAGGGAAGAAATGTGAACACTGAGCTGGGCACCACCACTACTCTCCAGAACATCTGCCGGCGGAGCTGGCACTCACAGCCCACTTCCTCTGCCTGGCACCGTGGGTCCCAAGTTCTTCTGGTACTGTGCTGGATCACACACAGACCTTGGTTAGAGGCAATTTCAGATACTTCCAGTAGCTTAAGAGAGGTAGGAGAAAGTCTCTCCTGAGCAGAGAATACTTTCCCAAATGGCCATTTAGTGCCCCACAGCTGCCATGTGTCAGGTCACCCTCCTGGCCAGTCAAGGCACCTGTTCTCAGAACTGCACCTCGCACCTCTTCCGGTCACCACAGCTCTAGTGTCAGCTCAACTGCTTGAGAGTCTCCGTAAGCAGTGGGGGCCACTGCTTCCCAACAGGAAGAAGGTACTCTAATTAAGACAAGAGCCTGCAAGCACGCAAGGGGCTGGGGGTTCAATCCCCAGGCCTGTCGTGCCGGCCCCACCCCCAGGGTGTGCTGAGATGACAATTGAGACTGGGCATGGTGGCACACACCTGTAATCTTAGCTCTTGGGAGGCTGTAAACAGGCAGGTCACTACAAGTCTGATCTAGTAGTGAGACCCTGAATACCCTGTAGACCCTTTCCTAAAATACAAAAAAAGAAAGATACTGTCTCAGGTTGACTTCTAAAGAGACTGATCACGCAGTATGAGTAGGGTAAGGACCCTAACAAGGCAGTGATGGTGAACTTATCAGGGACAAGTGCCCAAGCTGTACCCCAAGGTCCACTTACTTATTGTGGAGTGCCTACTCTACAATCAAACCTGAGTTTAAAAAAAAAAAATTCACACCTCAACATCTTTTGCCTTAGAGGAAAAAACCTCAGGTGCCATAGGTTCACCACCACTGCCATAAGGGATACTCACTGTCACCACTCCTCAGCCTTGAAGGAAGATGGGACAGAGAGACTCCAGTTCCTGAAAGAAGAGGGTTATGGAGACAGGCTGCCTTGGAAAGGGAGGTGACCCTCAGTTGAGAGAGAGGTAGAACATGCGACAGCTCAGGAGGAAGAGACTGGGGAACAAATATCTTCCCCTCTGTCCCTCTCTGATCCTTTTTCTACTTGTCAAACCCAACCAGAAGCCAGAGGACCCAGCAGCTCACTGACATCATTGCAGGTCAGCCTCTGGAGTAAAAGGATAAATCCAGCATGCATGCATGCATTCATTCATTCATTCATTCATTCAACAAACATTTAGGAAGCAGTTACCTCATGACAGGCATTCTGTTACCCAAAGAGACAAAGCTACCAAACACAATCTGTAAAGAGATCTGTCTGATGCCACCAGACATGACTAAGCAGTGCAGACTGGGCATGGGGTGTGGAAAATACAGATCTAAGCCATGGGCTGAGACAGGGGTGTGCTTCAAAACCCTCAGAGGCTGGTGGCTGTGGTTCCGGTCAGGCAGGACTAACATGGCAGGAGCAAGGCAGACCTAGAGAAGCCATGTGGCCGGAGGCTGGGTCAGAATGAATCATGTGATCCCAGAAAACCAGCTCTGGTTGGATCTCAATTACTTGGACCCTAGAAGGCCAAGCAATGCCCTGACCCACTCATTTTAAATCTTAATACTGTCTTCACTGCAAATCTCTGCTGCTGGGTGGACCAACCTCCCATCCCCACCACCACTCCACCCCACCCTCCCTGAATGACAATGGACACAGGCTGGACATAGAGTAAAGGACATCGCTCTCAAGCTTGCCCCAAACAGGCTGTCCCCGTCAGCTAACCTGGAATAAAAGTGACACTGGGTTTTCTTTAGCATCTAACAGTTTCTTTTCTTTTTTGGAGACAAGGTCTTGATATGTAATTGAGGCTGGACTTGAAATCACTATGTAGGCAGGCTGGCCTCAAACTCACAGCGTCCTCCTGCCTCAGCCTCCCAAGTGCTGGGATTACAGGGGTGTGCCACCATACCCAGAAGAACCTAGCAGTTTCTAAGGCGCTTTTCCATAAAACCTTTTATTTATTTAGAATTCATTTTTACAGAAGAGAGAAACAGGCTCAACAAGGTCAGGTGACTTGCTCAAGATCATAAAAGTAGGAAATATCTAAAAAGGGTACAGTGTATATATGTTAACACAGGAAAAGTTCGCTGATTTCAAAAGCAAAATCTATTTATCCTGCTTAGGGGTTCACTACATTGTGTGAACTCATCATTTTTAAGAAAATTCTCAACCACATTCTCATTCTTTCTTTCCTTTCAGCTCTAGTTATACCCATGCTAGATCTTCTGAGGCTGTCCAACACCTTTTATACACATTAATTATTTTTCCCTGATTCTTGGCTCTACTTCAATTTTGTTTTTTTGTTTTTTGTTTTTTACTGATTCATTTTCTAGCTCAAGAATTAGCCAATCTAAAATCTAAATTTTACTGTGAAAAAAAAAAAAAAGAATTAGCCAATCTGCTGCTATCTACTGAGTTCTTATTCCAGATATATTTTTAAATTCTAGAATATCCATGTGATATTTACAACATTAAATTCTAAGTCCCTGGAGATACTGTTCCTTTCATCTATTTTATACATTCCCTCTCTACCTTCTTGCATATATCAAGCATAATTATTTTAAAACCCATGACATAAACTCTAATATCTGAAACTGTTTCTAATGTCGAGTTTTTCCCTTTTGTCTCTGGGCATGGGACACTGTCCTCTTGCATGTCTAGGACATTTTATCATACAGTGTCCAGCAGAGAAAGCTTCTCTTTTTTTCTCCTAGGCAAGGAAAGCAGACCCACGATCCCTACTTCTCTGGAACACTGCTAGGTCAGGGCCGGGTTTCTGCTCCCGGAATCACTGTGTTTAGGGCAGGCCCTTTAAAATGTCAACCGGGGGGCCTGGCCCTAGCTCAGTCCTTTAAGTGGCTGCTCCCACAAAGCTGCCAGCCTCAGGTTCCTGGAGTTCGAACCTCACAACTCTCCTGCTGGCCAAAAGTGCCCTGAAGGCATTAGAGGAAGAAAAAAAAATAAAATGTCAACCGAGAGCTTCACAAATCTTTCTCTTTTCTGCCCTAAAAGACTGAGGAAATTCAATATCGGCCTTCAGGAGTTTGGGGCTTAGTTCTATAATCTTCCAAATCCACCCGCCTTCAGGATTTAGCAAATCTTGAAGAAGAAACCTGTCACATGAGGCTTGGAGGGCAGTTTCTCCCACTTTGTCCCTCGAACTACATCTGCTGGCTTCTGCTGGCCCACAGCAGCCCTACCTGGGGACCAAGCCTGAAAGTGGCACCTCTCCCTGCTCTGAGACTGAGTCAGCAGCCAGTACAGAGGTGTGCAGGCGTGAGTCTCAGTTCCCCGCTCTCCCTGAGGCCTTCACGCCCTCATCTTTTCTTCAGTCCCTGTGGCAGGCAGGACTTTGCTTTCTCTGCACTGCAAATGTGAAAACTGTACTCTGCCTCTCAGAAATGAGCAGCCTGATCCTTTACCTTCTACTGATCTAGAATTCAGCAAATGTCTTACAGGGAAGCTCTGCCGCGAGCCTGAAATCCCTCTTGCCCCCTTGGCCACTCTGACTCTGGTCACCGCTAACTGTGTTGGTGATGTCTCTTCTCCCCAGCAGCCTCTCTCTCTACCAGAGCCAAGCCCCAGCCTGCAGCCTGCAGCCTGCAGCCTGCACCCAGAATTGGCAGATGGTCCTCAGGCAGCCCTGCCAATTCATTTCTGACAGCGCCTCATTTCTCTGGACTGTTAGACTCTCTAGCTTTCATCGTTTCTATAGCTGTCTCACATTTGTCAGAAGGAAGACTGGCTTGCTAGAATCTATCACCCCGACTCGGAAGCAAAGTGGTGAGTCAGGGGAAGGCGAGAGATGCAACTTACTATGTGCCTCAAGTGCCATTTCTCTGTGTTGATGGAAAGTATGCAATCTCTCCTAAGATTGTTGCTTACTTCAATTAAGCAGCATACTCAGCTATGCTAATCTAGCTAATTGGTACGATCTCAAGCTGCAGCTGCCTTCCAAACCTCTCCTACCTCCCAGTGTTCACTCTAAGCCCTGATTCCAGACCTCTAACCACCTGCCTATCTCCTTCTATGGCAGTGCCTAGGAGAACAGATGCTGGGCATCAGACCACAGCCCATAACGTACACCCATCATGTTCTCTGGACTTCATCCTTGGCCTTTGCCCAAACTCTTGGGATGTCTGATAATACCTTGCATTACAGTGGTAATACTGGTAATGTACTTTCCACCTTACTAGTAAAATTGAGCTATAACTCATGTCCATCAAATTTACCCTACCTGGTTCTCTCCAGTCTCCAAAAACAAGGGTCCATTCACACACCCCAACCTATGCTTCCTGCAGTCCTGAGTTACACAGCTTTGTCCCCAACCCCAGGCCATTGCTCCTACATACACAATGTGCACAGTACACTCACCACTGCAGGCTCAGAGTACATAAAGGGCCTGTGCCCTCTGGGGACACGGTATGCTGGCCTTGCAGGAACTCATTAGAATTCTGCAGTGGGAGCTGCACTGCCCTCCTCCATCCCTGTCAGCCTGTACTGCTGGGGGACTGCTGGATCCTGGTTTGGTACAGCGACCACTTGCTGTCACCAGCATCAAGGTGCTGGGCATTTGCCAAACACAACCTACAGGACTCTACAAGCTACAAGTCAGCCAGGAGGGAGGAAGATGGAAGCCAGCCCTGGTGCTCTTGCAATCCTCAGCCAGTAATGTGGAAATGGCTGTACTATTATTACCATTCCATACTCACTGAAGGTGACACTGGCCTGGTCACACCAATAAATAGCCTGGGCAAACACAGTGATGGTGCCTTCATGGATCAGTAAAACCAATTGAAAATAATATGGCTTACTCAAGTTAAGCTAGACATGTACATTGTTCACTCCCAAGAGTTCACCCCTTACTATATACAGCAGAGAGAAACTGTGGCATAGGAACAGGGAGAAATGCACATGAACGCTCACAGCAGCGG